TATATAATCAAGAAAAATATTTTAAAAGAGAATACTAAACTACTGTAGTTTTTATTAACTCTTTGAGTCCCAAGGAACGCATCATACGTTCATAGGTTCCTACCCAGAAGCCCAATGAACGCATGATGCGCCAATTTTATTGCTTTCTTTACTACCCCTTGGGCCTGTGATGCTAAACCCCCTGGGACTCAAAGAGTTAACCTACACAGAATTCTAAAGATATTATCAATGTACTGTCTAAGGACAGTGCTAGGTGACTGACTGACTGACTTTCTACCCCACCAGGACATCACACACACGATAAACACCTGATGACACAAAGTGCCACCATGTGGATGAGGATCACCGTGGAGAGGTCCCAGAAACTGCGTTCAGACAATTGGTCATATTGATGGCCTGCTTATATTGCGGCCCCTGGCAAAAGCCAGAGTGGGGCTTCAAATAAGAAAAAATTACGTCCTAAAAAAGGCGTAAGGAATAACTAAGTGCTAGGTTTCCAGACTATCTATATAAATGAACCAGTTTATATTGGCTAATGTGAAAGTAACACAAGACACAGATAATTATTCAGACTGTAACATCCTCTGTCGTAAAGTGAAAGACCCTTTTTCACACCATTAGGCATTTAGTGATAGCACTGCATTTTATAGACCAAGTGGCTCTCATTAGGGGGGATATGGTCAACATCATGTCGGCAACCTTAACATCCACGATTTACATGGTATCTCTAGTGCAGAATAAGATTTATAATTGTGTGAATGGCACAAAAGTAACTTCACTTACACCATTCTCTTCTACAACAAGCACATTTGGATATTTGCATAAATGTATTTAGGACAAATACAGTAAAACCTCATTAACACGAACTTGTTTAAGTCAAACAGTCAATTAAAACACACAAACAGATCTGGTCGCAAAAGGGATAAATTATTATTAGTCCTAAGTAAGCACATATTTTTTCTGAAACACACACTCTTCATTCTTCTTCTAACTCAAGTCGAAGAAGCTCAGCACAGTGCACAGGTTTTATAGAACCAGCGAGGAACCTGAAATACTTTGGGTAGATTTTTAACTCCAAATTTTGCCCGGGAAGTGCAATTAGGATACTCTTTTAGATTTCCAACTGCCAAAGGATTTGTTATGTGCGCAACAATGCACACGGGCGTTCGATCTCACTACCCAGAGACCAGGAGGAAATACCAGAAGTCCAAGTCAACATGAAATAATCCCAGCCCTTACATGGGATTGAACCCGGAACTTCTAGCACTCGAGGCGAACACCATGCTTCAAGACCACATAGCTTCCCTATCTGCCCCTTGAAATGTATGTTAGCGATGTTTTACTGTAGTAAATATTGTGATATATCATGCCCTAAATCTACACCGAATAAAGACAGCTAATTCAAATACAGTACTTATATACTGATTATTTTACATTTAGCATCAATTTTCAGTAATGACTCTATATCAACTTCAGCATAAGAACATAGATCACTGTGGCACTGAAATGGTCCTTATAAGAATGAATGTCTTTTTCTTACAGTCTATGCTTCATAACGGTCGGAAAAAAAATGGCTTCTACTGGTATAAACCTTCAAGAACCTGTGTCTAATGCAGAGATTTGTAGAAATTATTGAAAAAACTTTATTTTCAAAGGGTTTAGAATTGGGAATGCAGGGCCATCTAACATTCTGCCCTTTAATGAGAGAGATGCCTTTACAGGCACATATCACCGGGGCAATGAAGGTGGACTGCAAGCAATAAATTACAGACTGGTTCATGGGAATATATCTTGTGATAAATCTATTCAATGACAGCCATTGGCATAGGGAATTAAGTCTGAAAATGGACTCTATATTATCTAGCCTAGTTTGAAAAAACAACAACGAAAAATCTTGTTAGTGAAATAAGAAATAATTTACCAAGTCGTTGCAAGCGTGCATCACGAGTGCATAACACAAGGTGAGACATCAAAGTGCAGATTCCCCCCCCCCCCTCCCCCACTCTGCTAACTCTTCACTTCATCAGTTATGTATCGAATTTCAACAGTGCAAAGAATGTTTGCTACTGTTTCAGTTACTTTATCAAATTGTTGTTTGGCGTCTTTCACTAGTTTGTTAAATGTAAGATTATGAAATGGGTGATAAATGAAAGAAGGTTGTAAATATTATGGAGGAGTTGAGTTGATTCAAGAACCGACATCACAGCCCACTAGGCATTCTTATATTCAGCAGCCAGTGAAGAGTTCCAATACTAATGGTGCCAGTAGCATTCTGATTAAACAGCAGTCTTGCCTTTCCTCTGAGCCTTGAGCATCTGCCAGAACCTCTCGTCACTCCCTGCTGCATCAATCTCACCAGACTATGGTGATCCATCTGCTCCTCTGAACCGTACACGCTTTCCCACAAGGCATTTACCATGTCTGCTTTATCATGCATCAGTATTCCACCAAGTTGTGCAGAGCCAGCCAGTCTGCCCGCCTGTTCATTTCCCAACACACCGGCGTTGTGCGGTGAAAAAATCCAGACAATACTCCTCACCTGTCTCCTTCGCAGTGAAGCATGCTACTCTGCACAAAGTATACCTGTCCTGACCTTCCTCATGGATAAAATACAGCTGCAGTGTGAAAGACGTGTGTTTGGAAGGGCCAATGTAAGACGGGCCTGCGTGCCTAATTTGTGACCCTTTGAAAATAAAAGTTCTTTCGCTGGTTCATTCGTTCATTCCTCAGCATGCTTTCTGAGTCAGTTACATAAACGAGGTGTGTGTGTGTCTTGTGTTCTCTAACCAGCAGAAAGCTGGAGGAGAAACTACACACTATAAAGTGACTTGGCACTGGGGTAATGGCAAAAAACCCATGATTTTAGAGTAGAGAGTTAAGAAAAATACAGCTGGAGACTCGAAGACAACTCGAGCAAAAATTAAAAAGTGGAGTGCTGCCCAATCTATTGGAAGCTGAAAGAAAGTCAGAACAATTATTGTGAAAAGTGCAAATAAAGAAGCTGAGGAAACTTTATTTTTGTGGTATGAACACTTAGAGGAAAAGGCCTGCAAATTACTTGAGTGATATTGGAGGAAAACATTGCAATTTACACATACAAAAATTCAGAATTTACTGTCAGTGATGTATGGTTAGATTAGAAGGGGGTAGGGGAGGGAGGATTCCGTATTTGCCAGGTTACCGTAAGTGGGGAGGGAGACTTTATCTGCTGATATAGAGGCCGTACTTTGTTCAAAGACTATCCTTTTAAACTTACTAAAAAAAAAAAAGGAATTTATAAGGAACAGTTGTACAACTGTGATAAGATCGCTTTAAATTATTAGATGCTCCCTAAAAAATTCTAACATTTAAAAAAAAGCCACTGCACCAGGATACAAGAAAAGCAAGGAACGAGTTACCATTGCTTGCAGTAATGCATCTGACAATCACAAGCTTAGCTTTACTTTAAGTTAAAAGGAAAATCAAAGAAACCTTATAAAAACAACTGATGATGAAATAGCCGACAATGATATCGTGGAAATGGTGACACATGGTGAAGTGGTAGAAGAGGGTTAGGGTGACAGGAAAAATCTCATCCAACATTCAAAAGGGTTTATTTAAGTCAACTGAGATAGTGCTGCAGATTAGTGAGCAGGTAACAACCGTGCCTGCTGACATAAGCTGCTTGAATAAGTGGAGGGAAATTGCATCAAGGAAGAGAGCAAAATGTGTGAAGAAGTAATTTATCAAGAACTCTTTCAAAAACTACAAACTTCAATTTTTTTCTCATCTCAGGCCAATCTTTTCTCATTTGTGCAATTACCTATATATTACTAGTTAAAAAAAAAGGAACAAATAATTTTTGTAAGTTAAGCCAACATATTAATTTATTGTTTTGTTCATTTTAAATGTGTGCATATTCATACTGTACAGCGTACATGATTTTATTTTTCCTGCAGTGAAGTTAAACAATATTAATTTTATCTTAAAATGTAAACAATATTTTTATTTTGGAACTTTCTTTTTTCGGTAATAATGTTTAAAACATACAGTAAAATGTGCTATAAGAGAGATTTATAAAGTACTTGTTGTATGTAGTAAAAGTAAGAAAATATGAATAAGAGCAGATTTTGGTGTAAATATGGTAGTTTTAATGATACAGGTGGAGTAGAAACTGAATATTTATAGAACTCTAGAATATCTGGCTTTTTTTGTTAGCCAACCTACTCTTCCACCACATTTGACTGGATATTGCAGAGTGCAGCTGATAAATACACTATTTATACCACCTTTTTGCTATCAATGCCAGACATAGACAATCCTAGAAAAACATAAACACAAAATTACAACATGTGAGATGAGATGTAGAAGAAATGAGGCGGGAAACCTGAGAAGAGATAAGAGTCAATAATGAAGAACTAAGAACAACAGTAGGCAAAGTGTGGGTGAATGATTTCACAGAACATCAAAGAATCAAATGGTGGGAATGGAACAAAAATCAGCCAACGGCTACATGAAAAGAGCAGGCTACAAGGCAAGAGGCCTACCAAGAAAGAGATGGGTGGAGGGAGTAAAAGAGACATTGCAGAAACAGGAGTAAAAGAGACATTGCAGAAACACAATATGACATTAATACAAGCTACACAACTAGCAACAGAGAGGAAGCTACATTTCTGCAACACTTTGTGGCATAAGCAGTAGGACAAAAGAAAAAGATTGCAGAGTCTACTGTACAAGTCATTAAAAAAAAAAGTAAAGAACACTTTTCCCACCAATGGTGAATCAGAAATATGACGCTAGACTCATCTCATAACATCAAGCCACTGCGTTTACTTCCCAGGACTTTACCTGGTACCCATTTTAGGCTGGATCAACCTAGGAGCCAAAGTCATTTCTAAAAAAAAAAAAATCAGACTAGATGTGGATTGGATTCCAACCCAAGACCGAGCATCTAGCTGCTACACCAATGTGGCTACCACAACAAGAATACGAGACATACTAACATTTAATGAGAAATGCATTCATATTACCTTTTTGTCTTCTTTTAAAAGAACTGACTTCAGTTTTTGAAACAACTCTTTAGATCCACTGATAAATATCTCCTCTTCCTTTTCATCAATGTCCACATCAAGATCATCTGTGACTTGCCTGAGACTACCTTTCAAATTTAAAACATTCAGAATCCAGAGCAGTACAGAGTTTCCAATGCATATAGTTTTTTTAAACTCAGAACTCTCTTTTCTTCCCACAGAGCTAGCATTTCCTAAGCTCTGAATGCCCTCATCTGGCCATTTGCTGCTTTGAGAAATGTGATCTGGATTAGGCAGAGGTCTCAAGTCTCTATTCAGCTTACAGATGGTATTGTTGATTATATTCACCATGAAATCCATTTCTTGAGACCTGGAAGCAAGGCAGACCAAAGTCACAGATGTGTCTTCAACAAAGATATGCTGGTGAGTGTAGGTATCTTCAAATGATTTGACAAATTCCATCCACTCAGTTTGCTTTTGACACTCTCTACTGGGCAGAGGAGAACACTGTTTTGAAACCACCAGTGTGAATATGAAATCATGAAATGTTTCCTGAAATATGTCAAAATATGAACATTTAGCACAAATATGAGTATAATTTGTTTATAGTAGTTAAATTATGTCAACTAACTTGTAAAAAAAAAAAAAGCTAAATAGCTTTTATCTGTAATGCCTATAAAGAATATTTAGTGTTCATTGGCAAGACAAGGTCATAAACAACAGAAAACAATGCAGGTATTAACAACAGCAAGTATTACAGTAATTAACTCTAGACTCAGTACTCAAAGGCCCTGAAGCTAGAAGACAATTATTAGATCAAGGATGGTAGAGTTCCTAAAAACATTCTCAAATTAACCTTCACCAGCTGCTCCGTTAAAATGTATATTTAACCAACAAACTAAATGAGACAACTAAGCAATTGTTTCCCTCAAAACACATAGATTTCAGTGTACCTTTCTTTCTTCACCATCTGTAACTTGCAAGAAGGGTTTGCCTTGAGTATCAACAATATTCACATACAGTCCAGCTGAATCAATAAAGGTCTTCAAGTCCTGCAGAGCTCCATCATTTCCCAAAAAGGTTTCAGTTAGTGCAGGATGATCCAGCTGTAAAATCAAAAGTATACATGTCAAATAAGTAGTCATAGTGAGTGTGTTTGCCTATCAAAACAGTGGCCTGCGTTCAATTCCCATTAGAGGGAAAAATTATACAGTGGAACCTCAAGCATGGGATATAGTTGTTGTTGTGAAATGAAAGAAAAGAGGAACAAACAATCAGACTTCATAATTTGTATTCATAATTCATAATTTGTCTTCATAATTGTATGATTGTTTGTTCCTCTTTTCTTTCATTTCACAACAACAACTATATCCCATGCTTCATAGATTTAGATAAAAAAGGTGGAGGAAGACAGCATGATAGGATTCTTGATAACCTTTAGTCATGATACATAAGTTTTTCAGCACACAAGTTGATACATGCTGTTTGAGATGGAAAACTGTAGAAAGGTATGATTAGCTACATCAGTCGACAAGGCTGTTGGATGATCTTCCACTGATCTGGAGCACACATTCTGGAAATCGTCTAGAAAGGAAAAGTGATGAGAAATGGAACTGGCCACCCACCTTGTATGTCATGAAGTAGTATACTAGAAGGCCAACACTTCAAACCCCAATGGCAATAACTGCTATGGGACTACCCTTATCTTGACTATAGGTATTGAACAGAAAAGTCATAATTACATAATCTTCTTCTCCTTCCTAGCAACGGCTAAGATGGAACAATGACTTTTGCTTATGCTTTATGAGGATTTAATAGTCTCAGTGACTAACTAAAGGCTTGGTCAACTCACAATCAGCAGACACCAGTCGGAAAGACTAGAGAACATGCAAAATGAAGCCATGAGACTGATCCTCAGATGCATTAGAAGCGCTTCATGTGATATATTCTCAACCTGCCGAACATGGTCACTAGACACAAGATGGTCCAGGGGATGGCATATGTGGGTGTTGCTACTGACATAAAACTGCACAGCTGCCTATGAGTAAACAAAGGTAACAGCCTAAACAGGGAAATAATGCAACAGCACACTGATGTTATAATAATCTGCAAATATTGCAGAGAATAGAGTTACACAGCCACTAATGCTGAAATGAAGGCCTTCATACTCGTCCAGGTGATGTCATCTTCTATACAGATGGCGGTGGGCATACACAGTGCAGGTGAATAGGAAGACAGTTAGAGAAGAGTCAAGCATTCATTTCAACTAATTCCAGTATGACGATGGAGTCGCCAGCTGTCAATGGGGCAAGTGCATAGCAGGTGGAACAAAAAAGCAACTCATACACTGATAGTGACAGACTCAATGACCATGCTTAAGAAGATCCAAGCTGGCAAACTCTGACTAGAACAGGTTGACAGTATCCAGAAGTTGTACCTCAAGACACTATCCTGGCTGTGCACACCAGGTTTGATGGGGTAAGAGCAAAAGAAAGAGCTGATATACTCGCTGTGTCTGTGGCAGTATAGGAAGAAGTATTGACAGGGCAGACATACTAAATTCGATGTATGCCAGAGATGTTGAGATAAAGGAGTCAGTGATGATGAACCACCAATTGGCATATGGTATTGAATGAGGACAAGAATGCAGAAACCAGTTGTGTGGCAAATAAAGAAGATATGCCAGTCAATTCCTACTGGGTACGGTGAGCAAGAAGACACTGAGATGGCTGCTGCATCAGAGTATGCATAGATGTTAAACTAATTCATTACCAAAACAATTCCCATGTGTTTTATTAGTGCTTCATTTCATGAAATATTTCACCCAAAAACCTGTTTCCCCAGTTTGCTATATTAACACACTTTATTGTAATTGTCACTTTAACTTCTTTTGTTCAATAAGTTGTTTTTTTAAAACAAATAACCGGACACATTTTAAAATCAGAGGATGCAGCACAAATGAGTCAGGCCGATTTGTTAGGCAATAAACAATATTATCCCTAAATCTTCCCTTCCACCTCCTACATCTATCTGATGGTTCACCATTTTATCAAGGTAGAGTCTCTGAATAAATGTTGTTCAAATTCCAAAGTAAAAACAGTTATTTATTTTGTACCCTAGTTAACGATGAAATATTACAATGATGAATTCCCTTACCTCATCTTCCTCTGTTAATAGTTTCTGAATCATCTTCAAAGATGCAACAGGACCCGTTATTTCAACTTCCCAATTACTTTCACAAATAGTCAGCTTTACCATGTTATATTTTTCATGTACAGCAATTTCAAATTTGAGCAAGTGAAGCAAAGTGAGTATATATGGATGCTCTAAAACTGGCTTGGCAGATTTTATATCATCTTTTCTTCCTGTACGGGAAACAGCCTTCCTGTCTTCTTCACCAGCAGTGAAATCAGAAACAGATGACATTGATGAGCTGCTTGAAAATGTACGCTGAAGGCCTTTGCTTTCTGAGTGATTCTTAGTTGTATTTTGAAGTGTTTTCACAGAAGCATTTGCATCATTATGTGACACTTTGAAAGGAATTTCACTTGGTTTTAACATAAGTGTAGGTCTGTTAACAGATTCTTTGTGTGGCACAACAGATGTGTCACCTCTTTTAGCTTGTACTGCTGTGTTGTTGATTTCTATTAATCTATTCAGCTGTTGCTTGAACGGCTCTTTAAAGCTGTCAAAGAACGGGACAACTGTAAGTGTCTGTTTCTCAACTGTCCAAGTCCCTTTACAAATGTGCAGAACATCATCTGAGGAATTTTGAAAAGAAAAAAAACAGTGTTAAACAGATTAGGTTTTCTATTAATGAAAACAAAAACAATCAACTGTACAGTACTAACAAGCATTTAAAATAATTAATCACACCAATTAATTTTTTTTTTTGAAATCTCTAAAATAGTTACAATGATATTAAACTTCATTAAATGTGGCATTTCGATGAAACTGACTTTACTGTTTAAATGAAAAAAAAAAATTGTTAATATTTTTTAAATCAATGAAACATAATTTTTTGGACTAGCTAAATTCGCTCATGATGTGATTACAGTATCTGTTACAAATTAAACACTATATACATATATACGCACTCACACATGCATGAGCATACATAGCTTTTTAAAATAAAATGCAATAATTCTCTCCCCCCCCCCTTTCCCCAGAGTAATATTTAAGGATTTACTATTATTTCGCTGATGCTGAATCATATTTGTATGTACTGTTAATAATAATGTAGGCTTACTACTCATGGAAATTAAAAATAAAAAAAAGTGTAGAAACAAACTGTAGGATTAGTTTCTTTCTTAAATTCCATGAATCTTGTAGATGTCCTGGAACTGGGCTATTTAACTGGTGGCCCATGGGCTAAAACTGACCTGCTGAGACATAGCAAGAGGCCTGCAGTTCAATTCCAGTTAAACTGTAATAATGATCTTTCTCTGCTGAGGCTGAGGCCTCTGGCCCTTAACAATCTCCATTTTGAAAATGTTGCCCCTGAGTAAACCACGACCGGCTCCAGCTGACGGGCCGTGCTGCTGACGTCAACGGGTCGGGCTAACGATGAGTTAACGCAGCGGTTCTAAAACCTGGTACCGAGGCACCCCGGGGTGCAGTGAGCGTATGCCAGGGGTGCCGCAGCAGTAATCAAGATGAGTCGGTTACAAATTGTGAAATTATTAGAGAAGGGACGTACATACATAAAAGTTAAAATTTAAGTTGTCGTCCCTCGCCACTGTCGTAAATAGTTTATTTCTTGTTTGAGAACCGATGCGTTAACGCATTGTTAGCCCGACCTGGTGATGTCAGCAGCATGGCCCGTCAGCTGGAGCCGGTCGTGGAGTAAACGCCAGTTGAATAGCCCTGGCTTAGAAGATCAATAACAGTCACACATGAGACACATTCACACAAATTTAGGAAGACTGACTATCGTTCAACACCATCAGGACATCTCAGTGAGCGATAAATACCCAATGACACAAAGTGCGACTATGCAGATGAGGATCAAGTGGGGACAGGTACCAGAAACTTCATTCAATCATAGGCTGGGTTATATTCAGACCCCCGGCAACAGCCAGGGTGCGGCTTTATAACAAACAAAACTTGGGCTCAACATTGGGATGCAGTTAAACCACTAACAAAGCAATTAGAATACATACACTGACAGATGAAGAAAATGTTGCATGTGTTAGCACAGTGACATGGAAAAATAATCAGCAATTTTATCAGGAACAAGAGAACAGATATTTGTGATTGCTTGTGCTGCTTTGTATGGCACATTTTAATTATGAACAATTTGGAAAGCAAATAAAAAAAATTTAAAAAAATCATGACCAAAAATACAAACCCCACAATAGACAAAAAAGCTCATAGCAGTCACCATCCTTTGTGGCGAGTTGCTCTACTTTCGTGATTTTTCGTCCACCATATTTCTGAGATGTAAACAGGTACTTCAACTTGTCTTTGGCACCAAATGTAATAGACTTGTAAGTCTTTACAAACACACTTGTTGTAGGTTTGGCTGTTTCAAGATATCTGGACATCTTAACTGGAGAGTCACTGCTGGATTTTAATTTAATGGCTCTCAGATCTGCAATAAAACAATTACCACATTCAATAATATAGTATAAACATGGAATTAACAGAAGTTTGTAATATCTACCCAACTTTTATCAAACGACAGGGTCTTGGGACCTGAATCTTTCTGAGTAATCTTTTAAACACACTTAAGTTCATTATTTAAAAATGTCTCCTAGTAAGTGCAGATATTGTTGTTTAAATTATATTATTATACACATTAACTTTTTACATTTAAAAAAATTTATATTATTCATATATAGCAAATGCCATTTCATTTGTCTTCTAGCTGACATTAGTGTTTGAATATTTTACCACTTCAGGACCTTCATTAACTCTTTCAGTCCCATACGGCTGTTACTTTGAGGTGGTCTATCTAAAGCAGTTGTTATTAGAAATCAATTTTGTCATAATGTGTCCGGTAAAAAAAAAAAAAACAATTATTGAACAAAAGAAGTTAAAGTGACAATTACAATAAAGTGTGTTAATATAGCAATTGGGGTATTTTGGTAAAGTATTTCATGAAACTAAGCACCAATAAACACATGGGTATTGCTTTGGTAAAAAATGAGTTTAACATCTAATGATGATGTCTTACCATGATGGTTAATAAATAGTTTATGTATACGTAAGGTTCACTTTGAATGTGCAAGCCCCAGGATCGAATTCTCAATAGTAAGGTGAATGAAATTGTTTCCGTCAGGGAAAAAAATGACACATCCTAACCTGCACAGTTTGTGGCGATTATATCAGCTATACTGCTCTAAATCCTTGCTCTTTGGGAGTGAGTGAACAGTGTTGAGGTGCAAATAGATCATGATGGTCTAAGGAGAATAGTGCTGCAAGGAGTTACCAGGGGATCTGGCCGACGCTCAACACTCAGGGGAAGGATGAGACGGATTTACAATCAGGCAGTTACTGGTACAATTGAAATTGGAACTCTTAGCTTGCTGCTGAAGATAGGGACTGAGCACTTATGGGAGTGTCCTGAGTGCTGTGATGTTGATTCTTAATTCAACATTCAACATTCTCTAAATCCTTAGACCCAAAACCTCCCAGTCCTACTCTGCCCCCAGGTTCACTTTAGAATTACGCTTCCTTAAAAAACTATCCTTTTCAAATTTTTAACCCACAATCATTTTTTCACATGTAAAAATGTCCTCATTGCTCTTGTTAGTGACTATTATGGCAGCCAATATGGTGGTCAAGGAAATAAGTATACTTGTTGCTACAGTGAGCCACCATTATATTGCAGGCTCAGGCTTACATCATAGTGTAGTTCTAACAGCTTTTAAACTTGTTTGTTGTCTAGTGAATTATATAATTTCATTTTTTTTTTATATTCTACTTTTATGAGAACCAGTCAATATTTTTTTTTCTGATGCCATGTTGGTGTATAAAATTGTTACCCCAGACCAATAAATTCTTTACTCTCACACACACACACACACACACATATATATATATATATATATATATATATATATATATATATATATATATATAAAATTAGGCATATAGCTATGGTTTAAATGTAAGAAATAGATGCAGAAGCAGTGATTGTCATGTATAGAAGAGGAAGGAAACAGTGATTAGAATAAACATTAAACAATACAGAAGCTGCAGAAAGCAGATCCCAAGCAAAGCAGACAGGATAGTCAGAACTATTATTGATGAAAACACAGATGAAGGTGATGCTGCAGCGTACACAGATGGCAAATCAGTAATCTGGGGCAAGTGAAGTGCATGGGCATTTACAGTGAACTCAGGATGGAAAACCATTAAGGAGATGACTGGCACCTTTTCTGTTACAATTAGAAGCCTTAAAATGGAAACGATGGCTGTAACAAGGGTACTAGAATGGCTGGGTACTCAAGAGTTTACACACGCATGCATACTTAGGGACTCAGTGAATACATTTAAGACAATTCAGGCTAGATTCATCAGACAAGAATGAACTGGGTCACTAAGCACTTCGTGAATGGCTGGCCTAACCGTTATCTTTGTGCTGGGCTATGCGGGTGTTCGCGGCAACCAGCATGCAAATCATCTTGCAGACACTGTGGTTGCTATGGCTGGTCCTATACTGGACAAAAGCAATGTTATCAATGCCATGCACAGCAGGCACTGTGAAGATGAACATAGCAAAGGGCATGACTCCATATCCCTGTCTAGACTGACGGACTTAGGGATGAAAATGTTACCAAGAAAACAAGATGTTTAGTGATAAATGAGGATTATCTTCACAGCACTCTGGGCAGGTCCATAGATGCTCTGATCTCCTCTTCAACAGCTCCACAGATGTAAAACAACTGGTGATGCCTGCTCTGTGTTGATTAATTAAACATCTTGTTTTCTTGGTAACATTTTCATTTCTTGCAGCTCCAGGTTTCATCACTAAGTCCGTCAGAGATTCAAAACTGCCACTACTAAATTACATGTGTACTTTGATGCATGACATAAGATCCTGAAGTCAAAATTTAATAATAAGTTTACAGTTAATTCATCTCAAACACTAAACTACTTGAAGTCACAAACCATGAAACTCTAGACAGTATGATAACCAAGAGAAGATGGAAATGGCCTGGCCACATTATGAGAATGAATTCTGATATACCTGCCTAAACAGCTCTCACATGGATACCACAGGGAAAGAGAAAAAAAGGGCGCCCAAAAACAAACTTGGAGACGAACCGTGGAAAGTGACCTGAGTGCGGTGTCTCTGATATGGAAAACTGCACTGAAGATTGCACAGGACAGGAAAGCGTGAAAAATCCTCTCTGAAGCCTCGTTTGCCACTAGGCATAAAGAAAAGTGATGATGATGATGATAAAGTTAATTCAGCTTACTAAGTTCCGGCATCAGCAAACACTTCTCTGCAGTGAAAGACTTGAATAATTACAAAACACTAACAAAAAAAAAAGTGACTTAATTAAAAAAACTTTATTTCATGATCTGATGCACATCCACGTTAATTAACAAACAATGAATGAATGAAAATACTCTTACTTTAATGACATCCCAATCACAATAACGTCTTAAATGTTACAGTGCATTTGCAAAGACAAGAGTGAAAGGCAAAGAAGGGACAGATGCCCTAGCACAGCTCCCACCTTAGGAAGTGGACATTCAATGGAGAGAATGGACATAATCAATGCTATACAAGAGACAACACGCAAAG